TTTCTTTCTTTCTTTCTTTCTTTCTTTCTTTCTTTCTTTCTTTCTTTCTTTCCCTCTCCCCCTCCCCCCTCCTCCTCCTCCTCCTCCTCCTTCTTCTTCTTTCCTCTTTTTCTCTCTTTTCCTGCCCAGAGGGTAGCCAGAGACAAATGCCTGTTGGATGCAAGTAGCTTCTGGAATGACTCATATGGCTACAGGTTGCCCATCTATGCTTTAAAACATTTGTGCTTAATTGCTATAAATTATATTCTAAGGCTAGATCTTGGTTTGTTTGTTTGTTTGTTTTTTGCCTCCAAAGGTTAAATATCTGGAGAATGAAAAATCCTCCAAAAATACAGAAATAGGTTATGCTTAATATAAAAGTTTGCTCTGAATGTTTATATTTAAATAACAAAGTACAGGGAGCAAGAGAGAGGAAAAAACCCTATATATATGAAAACCTTCCTATATGATCAGACATTTCCAGCAAGACTAGAAGCAGAAAACTCACCCCAGTGTATTCTTGGTCCTCAGGAAATCAAAGCATGGCTCTTCCATGTGCATCTGAAATTCCACAGATTTAGGTGTTAAATATTTTGCTTAGCCCACACCTTCAGAAAATTATACGTGTCAGTACATGATTCTTTTTTTTTCTTCTTTTCTTAAAAAGGTGAGGAGATGTTGAAAGCTTTGCAGTTATGGCTTCCTTCTGAAAGAGATCTAGAATTAGATGAGGAATCTGGTAGCACCTTTGCTAACTAACAAATCTGATTAAAAGGGATAAGCTTCTGATGCATCTGATGAAGTAAGTTGCAGCTCACAGAAACTTATTCCTTTTAATAAAATTTGCCAGTAGGAAAGATGCTACTCTTGATTTTTTCCACCATAAACCAACCCAAATCTCCTCCTATACTGTTTAGAATTAGATATATAATGATGATGATGAAGATGATGACTACAATTTTTAATCACAACTAGGAGATTGTGAAAGAGCTTACAAGGCAATTGAAAAACATACAACAGAAAAGAGGAGGCAGAAAGATCAAACTCAGGCATTAGTTTTTAAAATTGCAAACATTAGAACTTACCACAAGCAGTTCTATGAGTGAATAATCTTTTAATTTCTTAGCACCAGTCTAAAAATTTAAACAATAGTAGGTTAATGATTTATCTAGGTACATGATGGTATCAAAATGAAATGAAAGTATACCATAATAATGCTTTTAAGACACTCTTGCCCTACCAATTTGCTAAAGAACCTCAGGACTCCAGATCACCAAAGCTGCCAACCATCTTGGTTAGGCTTTATTTTCTACCTGTACTGCTCAGCTTGCCCATAGAAGAAAAGAGTGGTAGTGTTTGACGAGAGGGATGTCAAGAGGCATCCATGGGGCTGGTTGAAAAAGTCACATTGGTGGCCATAAATGTTTGAGCAAAGCTCCACCTTTTGGAGACAACACCGGTAAAAAAGAGGTGGGGTCTTGATTACATGGTTTCTATCACCACCATGTCTTTTATGACATTCCCCCCCCCCCATGCCCTGTTTGACAATCAGTCATTCAAATGACTCATTTTCTCATTTTCTATTCTTTCCTTAATAATGTCATTATATGCTTGAAATCACTTCCTCCACTTGCTTCTTTTGCCTCTCTGGCACTCAGGGTTCACAAGGCTCCCTCTCCCACTTCTTTCTTCCTTTTTTAAACAATAGTTTTAATTTTAAAATAGCTTTGCTTTGAGCAGTTATAGAGATTTATCCTTAAGTAGGGTTCTGATTCCTACAGTCGAGTGTATGTTTTGGGGAGAGTGATTACATGCTCAGAACAAGACAGTTAAGCTGAGATTGTAGAGAATGTCCTAACAGGCTAGAGATTGTTGGTGAGGAGTAACTTCTAGTTTACTTTCTAATAAGCAGTGTTTTGGGACTCCCTGTGCCCTCCCTGGCAGCCATTTCCAACATATGGCAAAGAAGGAAGTAGATTGTACATATACTTTATTCCAAAATCTAGCTCCCAATGTATCTGAAGAAGACACTTTTCCAAAAGCAAAACTAGATATTGGCTCAAAGTAGATATATACCATGTTGGTATATGTATAAGTAGATATACCAGACCTTCTTGTCTATCTACTTAGGTTGGCATTTATCCTTCTGTGTGCCAACATTTCAAAGGGATAACCTAAAACAGGGTTCCTCAACCTTGGCAACTTTAAGATGGGTGGACTTCAACTCCCAGAATTCCCCAGCTAGCAAGGGTCTTAAAGTTGCCAAGGTTGAGGAAGCCTGACCTAAAACATTTGAAGGAAGGATGAGGAGATAAAGGCTGGTCCACAAAAGTAAGAAACCCTGGTCTTACAGACCCAAGGGATGGACCAAAATTTCAACAATACAATGATTCCTGCTTCATTTCTTCTAAGGGAAATTAAGACTGGCATAACTTGCTATACAGAGTCTCCTGTTTTCATTCTTTCACAATTCTGAAACATGAGGTTCTTTTCTCCTCTCAAGGAAGGCCCTGCTCCTGTTTTAGCAAAGGTGAGGGAAATGGAGTTGAATACCAGATATATAGCAAGGAAATTTGGTGACCTCTATTTCTGTGGCCATATTCACTGTATTTTGTGGCCATATTCATTACTCTTGCCCTCAAGGTAATTTATTTTTCATCTAGCACACAACAAACCTTGAATATTTGGGGGGCATTGCTAATCTGAAGAAACAATCATTTTTCATATTCTGGATTTTTGTATTTCACCCTCTCCCATTCTTTGCAAGAAATACATGTAGACAAAAATAATGTAGGTTAAAGAACAGCATGTAGATGATTAAAATAAAACAGTAAAATGGAATAAGAAATGTGGAATGTGAAGAAGGAAGCAGTAAAAATGTGACTGTCATGACACTAACAGATTTCTTTTAAAAACTCAAGATTTAATATAGGATAAAGTATTGTATGCTTACATTATTTACATATAATAATTTTTATTTATGGCTAAAATATGTGAATAACAAATTACAGGTATAATTTTTAAAAATTGGCACAAAATAAAACAGCTTAACAAGCAAAATAAATTGATATCAATAATTATATAGCTTAACATACATTTCAAATTCTGAGATAAAATTCATAGTACCTGGTAATAGACCGTGACATCGGTGTTTGCATCCCCAATGTGAAGAGATTTCACTTTACACAGGATGTGAGTATTAGGCAGTTCCATCACTCGAAACTGAATAGGACACGGGTGTATTAGAGGATGGAAATGCAATTTTCTGGAGAGAGAAAGAGACCAAGAAGCAAGTAATGAAGCAGCTTATATGGCAAAATAAATCTTCATACTAAAACCTCCCTCAAAAGATGCAGTTAAACCCCCAGATTTTGCTCTTTGAAGTTTCATTTCTTTGACTAGTAGGTGGACAATCGTGGCATTCTATGGTGTAGGAGTTTGTAGGACTTTGAAAGTATCTTACTCCTGCCAAAGAATCAGTACATTGGTAGGCAGACAAAACTTGCTCGGCTTTCCTTTGGAAATGCAACCAAAGAATGAGGTAGAGGTGAGAGGTATTGTAAGTCCAAGAGTCAGCACCAGGCATCAGAAGTTTGGCTCCAAATAATCTTGGGTACAAGGCAAGGGTTCTAGCAAAGGAGCACACAGAATGGTATATGATTTCTAGCAGTGGGTCATTTTCCAATGGCAAGCTATTGAGTTCAGGCTGAAAGCTGTATTTATAATTTCAGAAATCTGGCTTATTCAGCAGCAATTCTAACTCCTAGGTTTCTATTCCCAAGGAGGAAGGACTGCATTTTCCTGCAGCTTTATGCATCTTTCAGTACTCTGGCTTTTGACCTGCTGTCATTCTTATGGACTGAGAGGGTGCTTGGGGGTTTCCTGTATGCAATCCAAGGCTTCAAATACACTGGCAACACAGACCAATTCTCCTCCACTGTTGGGTCCTGTCTCTTGGCCCATATCTGTCTTCAAATGACCCTGCCCCACAGCTGCATTGCAAGGTCATCATCAAAGGTGTGCTTTATCTCAAAACATTTTTCAGAGTGCTGCTCTGAAGTTCTACAAAGTGAGTTCTCCTTGCTTCCAAATATCATAGTGGGGTGACTGTACCATCTCCTCTGACTAATAAATGGGGTACAACAGCTGATTGAGGCTTATACTGTCTATCCAGCAAAGCACCCTGTTATGGCGATGTGGGATCTGCATGGTGTACAGTTTAAGCACATGGAAACAATAGATGGCTTCACAAATAATATGAAAATTATGCTGGAATTTCTGATAAGCAAATTGGGTTAAATGAATGCAAGACAACATCAAATAATGCTTAATAATATTTACAGTCTGAAAAGTCTGGAATTTCAAAGCTGGTTTTTTTTTTTTTTGGTAATTAATATAACATTGGTAGAAAATAATTTTAAAATAGAGATTTAAACAAACACTGTAATAATGAATAGTAAATGCAGGTGTTTTTAAACTATTTAATACAACACAACTGTACTAAATGCATACTAAAAAGGCTGGTAACTATAAAGAAATAGGTTTCCAATGCAAATTATATTTTAGTGTTGTGAAAAACCAGCTACCATATAGCTCTTGCAAAGAACCCTCAGTCTTTTGTTCAGTAACGAGAATCAAATCACAATACTCACTCAGAGATATAATTCATAAACTCCTTTGACTCCTAAGGGATAAATTGTGAAAGATAATACTTTTAAAAAAAAAATTAGGCAAAGTGATTTTGTCCCAATATTCAACACTTTTTGAGCCTGGTTAGTGCTTGGATCAGAGACTACCATGAAGTCCCAAGGCTGTAGGTTAGATGAGGAAGGTTTTAAAAAAAAAAAAAAAATAGAAGAATACAATGGCAAACCATTTCCAAAGTACTGACAAAATTACTTGGCCTTCATGTCACCAGAACTTGTGTTCAACTCAAGTTCAGTTCATACATCAGTTAAAGTTTTACCCTCTACAAAAGCAAAATTCATTTCTCAGAAGCTTTCTTATTTAATAAGTGTTTGTACCGATATACCAGGACCACATAATAGCACATAGCAAATAGCAACAATGTGAAACTAACAAAAATAAAACGTCAATAAATTGATAATGCTGTGTAGAAAAATATATTCTATAATGTTTCTTACAATTATCATTTCATAAATATCTAGCAGAACATATAGGTCGTAAAAGGGTCTAAAAATGAGGAAGCCCTAATTCATGGTGCCAGCTGATGACTTTCACTACCCCATATCTAAGTGGACTTTGTACTCACATTTTTTGTAAAGTTTCCTTGGACAAGGCCTTCTACCCACAGGTTTGATTTGAAAGCATCCACAAATTTTGTCAAAGTTTCTATAGAAATACCATTAACCAAAGTTTGATATTTCTCTATTAATGACCATCTGCCATGTTCCAGGACTGATAATCGTATGTCTCTGTAAATCCCAAAATGAAGATGCACATGAGTCCCAAAATTAGTAAGCACATATTAATGAGAAAGGTTTAATTCTGCCTTCTTGAGTCTTTTTAACACTGAAGATATCAGAAGCATCACAACAATCTAACTCCACTTGCATGTCATTCAGTTAGGAATTGGGACAAGATTACTTCCTTGGTTCCACTCCTCTCCCAGTGTCCCACTATCTAATATCTGGAACCTCTGTATGTGAACAGCAGCTGACTCACAAGAGGACCAAGTGATCAGAATACCTGACTATATGTGCATCATGATTATAAAGCCCCATGCAAGAGAAAATGCTCAACAGGTAGTTTCCTGTCTAGTCTTTTGTTGGTGGAAGTGGAACTGGCATTGCAACATCCAAATGCTTCCAAGAGTGCAGTCCTCTTTATGCATCATACACATTAGTGATATGTGTCTGGCCCAGCCCAAGAACAATGGTGAAACAGTCCAGTTGAATTAAGTCCCTTTATTTGCTTACACCTTATAGAAAGAATCATGCCAGACTAAATCTATACTACTGCAACTAGTGGATATACCCTGGGAGGTTCTAGGGTGTGGCTAACCTGGACCTCTTATGCTTCCCACGTTCCATCTCTGGACTGTGTTGTCCTTTGTCTCCTTGCCCCTCCTGGAATGTGCCCCCTCCTTCCTGATAGCCTTGATCTCCCACATCACCCTCCTCTTCGTAGATACATCCCATCACATATGCCCCATGTGCACGTAGCATTTTCTTATGCAATTTTGCACCAGAAAAACCTTGTGGTGAGGACAAAAATCTTATGGCGTGGACATGCAATTCCAGGGATTCATTAAAAACTGGCTTTCCCCTTTCTGCTTTTTCCCCCCTGAATTAAACTGAAATATGATTTAGAAAAAGAAAAGAAGAAAGAAAAAAGCAGAGTTTCATGGCATGCATTTCTGCCAGCTCTCCCCTGCCCCCAGAATCTTGTAATAATCTCTTAGAGGCCTAAGTAGGTGAAATTGGACTTTTCTTAAATTTTCAATTTTCCTTGTTTTAGAAGGAATAGGTGGTTTTTCATTACTACCCATCATTCCATATCTCAGATGCTCTTGGACATAGACTTAACCAAGAGATTTCTGGGGACTTTTAGCCTCTGTCTCTCTACAGAAGGCGCATAATCTGAGATCTCACTGGCCTACTCTGAAACCTTGAATAAGGTTGTACAAAACCTTTCCAAAATTTATCGCCAATTTGATGTGACAATTATTAAATATACAGGAAGTAGCACATTAATGAGAACTAATTGCCCAAATATACTTTTGATTAAATGAAAATCAAATCAAATCTAGTTTTTATCCAGGTATTATCCACATTTGTTGCCTTGATTCTAATTTTTGAAGTGCATCTTCTGGTTTATTAATTCAAGGCCAAATGTTTCTTCTAGCCTGTTATAGATTGCAGATGTTGTCTATGGGTTCAAACACCATCACAATCTTGAAGTTCACAGGCTTGGAACTAGTTTTGTTGTTATTTGTTTGTTTTTTACTGAACTGAATTTATACCATTGAGATCTAACATGGTAATTTTTCCATTATGTTTCCTTAAAAACACTCACTTGGCCAGTGTATCTGTTTTGATAAGATAATTAAAATATGACTTTTTAAGCTGCTCTGTTATCATCTGGAAGTTTGCGGGTGTGATCCTCAGGTCAGATAAATTATTGATAATCAATTGAAACAGCAACTAGAAAGAAAAGTAAATTTTAAGTAGAGCAGCATTTTATGAAAGAAAAGACTAAAAAGTGCCACATTAAGCATCTTACAAACCCTGGTCCAAAACACAAACATACCAATCTATATACTGGATAGTGAAGGACCTAAAATCCAGCATCTGTGATGATGAATTAAAAGAGCTGGAATAGAGAAGGTTAAAGGGAGTCATAATATCAGTCTTCAAATATTTGAAAGGCCATATTTTGGAAAAATTAGGCAAACCTTCAATAGATCTCACCAGCTTTGACAATCTGATCCTTGAAGTAAAGAATAAAATAATCCAATCCACGTTTAAAATGTAAACGTGCAAATCAATCTATTAAATAAATAAATAAAATAAAATCACAGAGCTAAACGTTTCCATCTGTCATTCCTGGTGACCTCACAAAGTCTTGGAGGCTGACAAGGTACAGAAAAAGATGGTCTAGTTTTGATCTATAATGTCAGAAGAACACAAAAATAATTGAATGCTGATATTTATATAGATCAGTAAAAAGGAAACTTTGCTGATATTTACCAGAAAATCTCAAGAATATTTTCTTTTTAATGATTCTTTATAGCTTATTTGAGGATTACAATATATGATTCCTATGCATGGGGTTTAGAGAAGTCAAATATCCAAATTTCCAGTTAGAGAATCTCAGATAAGAGGAGTGGGAAAGAGTTATTCCTAGCCAGACAACAAGCCATGGTAGTAAGATTTGACTTAATGTAAGCCATCTTGAGGCACTGATTTATGATGTCTTTCACTAAGGATTAGGTCAATAGTAACAACTGTACAAATCTTCCATGTCTTATTCTTTCATTTCAGATAAGTTGTTCCGGTGATGATCAAAAATCTTATTACCTTCATAGTCACTGGAATGGAAGTAGAGTATGAAGAAGTAAGGATCACTCACAGGTAGTTTATGGTTAAAGCCTTTCACTCGAATGGTCAAGCCATGCTCTTTAGCTATTACTTTATATTCCAACTGTGCAACATCAGCTTCATATGCTGGTTCAGCAAGGTTATGGCTGAGGATGCTTACAAAAGTATCAAAAAGCACCATGCTGGATGAGGGAAGAATATAACAAAGTGAATTAACATAAGCAAAGTGGCAGAGTTGTAACGTCTTCATGTCTTACAGGAGAAACAGGAAAGTGGGTGTTCTTTTCACCAAGACTAAAATTTCAGATTTTCATTTCCATACATGCTATAAATTTCCCTTGAACATATTCTGTTTGGAAAAGTTAAATTGCAATGGGCAAAATGGGTAACCCCATCATTTCCAAAAAATACAGACTGCTTAAATTTATAAGCTTTTCCTCTCTCCAAAATATACTGAACATATGTAAGGTATAGAAACAGCAACTGCATTTGCCTTTATGCATTCTAATGCAAAGCTTTAAAGTGGGGGCTTCGCTTCAACAACGTTTCAAATGAAGTTCTCCCTTGCAGCTTTTTTGCCTGATTCAGAGCCCCTCTAAGCCTCCTCCAACAAAACAGAATATGAAAGAAAACTGAGAGGAGTCTTGGCAAAGGTTCTCCAGGGTAGGTAGCTCTGGAAAATGCTGAGGGCAATCCCCAAACCACCCACCCTGAAGCTCCCTTTTCATGTGCTGAAACGTATTCAAGTGTTGTGGCTTTGGTGAACACTGCAGCCGATCCTGAATCCACCTACTCCAGAAAACTTAGGCTAGTGTTTGGAGAGAGCTGCAAGGAGCCTTCTAACCACAGTATTCTGGTTCAAGGTCAGCTGAACTGATTTAAGAATGTTTGGCTTCTTTGCTTCATCAAAGCAAGTCTAAATCACTTCAGACAAGCCTAATATATGTATTATTCCAACCTAACAATAACAACAATGAAATATTTTATCATTTCTTAAAACTAAAGCAAACCAGTAAATTAAAAAAAAAAAAGCTTACTTCAGTGCAGACTGTAATATTATTGGTGATACCAGGTAGAAACAGATAAATCCTGGAGAAAAACAAATGAATTGGAAAAGCAATAAGAATGTCAAAATTGTGCCAACTGTCTATATACATAGGTCTGCTTTTTTTTGAATCACTGAAATCTCACCCACATCATTTGAGGGTTGTTTAGTTAGATCAACCATCACAACATTGTGCTTTCTGAAACCACTACTTATAGTGGTGACCATGCTTGAGGATCCTCATTCCCAAGATAATCAGGTCAATGTGTTTGTGTGTGTGTGAGAGAGAGAGTGGGAGAAAGGGGAAGAGACAGAGAGAGGAAGAAAGACAGAGACACAGAACCAAGAGGCCTTGTCCACTGACAGCCTCCACCATGTCCAGTGTTGCCCCCAACTATAAATAGTGCTTCTAGTGTTCTGTCCAAAAACTGATCAATGGATGGAACTGATAACACCAGGTCTTAATATCAATTGGGCAAAAGGATTGTTTCAGGACTTTGTAGGAACTGAATGCACTTTAAATATGTCAATTCTTTGTGTAAATTTACCTTAGATCACCTCCTTGTTAAGCATTTATTCTAAACTTTTTTCACATATGTTTCCCCAAAGGATGCATTGAGGTTTTCTATGACAAAGAGCTCTCCAAAGTGCTGATTGTTTTGAACAGTTAATTAAAGAACACTAATCCTTTGAAGAGAGATTGTGCTATACCTTTCTCATATTTGTAATCTAAGATGTACAATTCATTTGTATTGATACATTTTACCTTTGGGGACACCAAATTTATTGTCTTCCTTGTACCATAGACACCCTTCACGTGTGTTTATTATTTTGGTGGGATATTCTGGAGCTTGGGTACTTGATTCTTTCACAGAGAAATCTGTGGCTAAGTTAGGAGACAAAAATTACAAATTACTATATTGAAGACAAACTTTACTCATGAACTTGGTTGCCTGCTATGTTGCTGCATCAGATCTTCAGAAACTTTGTATAAATCTGTAGACATACAAACTTCTAAACCATGGTTACATCCATACAAGTTTTGGCTACAATTGCCAAAATTCAGGCATAATTTCCCACCATTTTCAGGCAGAAAACACTAAAATCTGAAGCTTAGAATATTGAAAAAAAAAAGTTTGAAAAATGCTTTGCCCCATAAATCTGGGGGGTGGGGCAGGGAGAAGAAAAAGAAAATCCTGGCTTATGTACCCAATGTCCATTATTTTATTTGTTATTTGTTATTTACTATATTTATAGTCCTTGCTTCCCCAGAAGATGTTAAATCTGCCAAAGCCTACCTTAGTGGGTTAATGGTTCATAATAAGGACAATATTTAATTGAACAGGACCATGTGGTTGTAGTACTGACCTATATATTGATTTTCTTGTGGCAGATGTAAATCTGGATTGAGAGGGAAATCACTGTCCCACAACTTCCTCCAGTATGGGTCAATGTCTGTGAATGGAACAGAACCCAGAATGAGGATCTCATTGCATATCCATGAATGCTTTAGTAGGGAATACTTCAAGATAAGCATTAATCTTAGATTCAGTAGTGCACTGAATCTAGCTTAAGCTAGACTCATGTAGCCTCTAATTCTCATAATTTTAATTCGATAAGCCTTCTAAATTGTGCATACAACCCCCCCCCCCTTCAGCTGGAAGACAGCTGGAACCTTTTAATGTCAGAAACACCACTAAGAAAAGAATGAAGCTGTCAATTTCATGTTTCCCAGGTCTCTAATTTGTATTGCATCTTCATTTCATTATTTTATTTTATTTTATTTTATTTCATCTCATCTTATTTCTATATTAGTTTAAGATATATAACACATGAAAATTCAGGGAATTTTGTATGCATTTTCCTTACCATTTATGTTACTATGCACATTTTAAAAAAATGGGAAACTGATTTACAGAATTAAGAGATTGGCAGATTTTGGAAGACAACGGAATTAATGTGCATATAAGAAAGCTGGCATTAAAATACAAATAGAATGAAAATCCTGAATTCTAATGTAAAGAAAAAGGGAAATCCTCTTAACGAAACAATTTATATGGAAGTTAATGCAACATTTTGCACAATTAGTGATATCTTTGCATTGAGATGTTCTGAAGTTCTGGAAGCAGATTTAAACAAACCAGTAATAATGCAGATGGCCAGTTTACCTAACACACAGTAACGTGTCCCAAACCACTTCTCTTTCTTGGTACACTGTCCCTCATGGGAAGGAGATAAGAGAAAGATGTTTACTTTTTGCGGAGTGAGATGATTAAGGGCATTAGCAATGATCTGCAAATATAAAAGATAAAAGAATAAATCAACTCATTCTCTATTAGCCATTTCTTACTTGTACTCAGGAAAAAATTGCCCCTTTGTTCTTAGATTGGCCTTTCCTACTCTTCTTATGCCATGACAGATAGCCAAAATTAGGGGCTGGAGGATGGGATATCATCAACCCACTGAAACTCACTGGCTGATTGATTAGGAACTTGGTTATACTGCCTACACAACAGAAAAGCAAATCTCACCATGTAAATTGCCACTAGACATAAATTTTAAAGAAACTTCATTGCATTTTGGGTCAGAAGCTATATAGAAATATTCTAATTAAGCAAAGCACTTCTTGAATTTAGTGTTAACGTTTCTAGAGCAGACTCCTCAGCTGGGGCCTTCTAGATGCCTTCAATCTGCAAGGTTTAGATTTCCTAGCCATTATGAGCTTTGGTAGAATTCTGAGAGTTGCAATCACATATTAACTGGATAGTGTCAGATTGGAGAAGGTGATTCTACAGTGATTTTCGTGTCACTTCTTTTGCAAACACATGTGTCCCACTTACTTCAGCATTATATTCAGTCAGCAGTTGATCTCCTGTCAGTAGGTCCTCCTTTTGAAAGATGTGCATATATTCACAAATACTTTCTACAAACTCAATTGGATCAGTCTGGAGATATGGAAACCACGATGAAGAAATAATAAAGTCAAGAGGTTAGAGTTTCTTAAAACCCAGTCTTGAAACATAGCACAACATTTCCCAGTGAGGATTAGGATCATCTGAAGCCCACTAGCTAAAATAACGAGCCAACATTTCCAGCATTACCACAGACATATTGGAAAATGGAAGCAAATGTATACCTGTTCCTGGAAACAAAATTCATTAGCTTCAATCTTCTGAATCTCTTCCCATATTCTGCAGAAGAAAAAGTTGTGACCATTATCACATAGAACAGCTATCCCCGCCTGGGCATCCTTGAAATGTCTGGACTACAACTTCCCAAATTCTCAACAATGTCTGCAGTGGCTGCGCAATTCTTGGAGTTCAAATCCACACATCAGAAAGATATCCAGAGTGGGAAAGGTTGAAACTGAAGACAGTTTTTCTACAGTAACTACTCATATCTTTGAATAATCAGGTGATGAGAAATTACATAGGAAGTGTGAGCTTGTAAAAAACAAAATTAAAACCTGCTTTTCATAACTACAGAATAAAAACCACCTTCAATCTGGGTACACTGAATATACACGAGAGAAGGAAAGAGGGACTATCATGACAGACTCCAGTCTTGACCAATGAATGTTGAATTTATTACCCGTACAAGCCTCACATGTCAAGACTGAGTTATGGACTCTGCAATCTTACTGGCTCTCCTTATAAATCTAGATATTTTCTGAATTACCAAGTTGGTATTCAAACCAACTCTTCATATACTAATATTTACCATAATTATATTTGTCTAGATATATGAACTGGAAGACAAAAGGGAAAAAAGAAAAAAACACACAGATTCTGAGCATTGTGAAATGTTCCCAAAAGTTCACAATGCTAGATAATTTGGTGCCTTTGGGGAGCTAAGCTCCAACAGAAAGTCTATCAGAACCATGACATGATTACCCCATTTGTTTTAAATATTCGTCTTCCTATCTGTCACTTTTGTAGGTTATCCAAAATAGAGACACACATTATGTTTTTGAATGGGTGACTATCACCTACATCAAATAAAATTTCACTTTTATTGGAAGGAGTGCTTTTTAGAGGTCTATTCAAATGTGTAGTTGTTAATATGAAACCTTATATAACTAATTATATAGCATTGTTTATTACTGCTGTCAAAGAGATTGTACTGCAGATTTCAAACACTATTACTGTAGTTCTTGCATACGATGACTTGATTTGATATACAAAACACGACGATTTGATTTGAACATTAATATGTTTAATATGTACGATATTCTTAAACTCCTTGTTATTTACAGCATCAGTTACAATATATACTGAAAGTGCATTAAATAGAAAAATAAGAAAAGCCTAGCAAAGATTAGTCATAACAATCTTTTTTTAAAAAATACCTTTTCTCTGGCCCATTTTTTTGCAACATCTTTAAATACTGAAATATAAGATGAATAACCTGAAGATAAAGAGATGCAGTTATTTTTGAGCTGTTTGATTACAAGAAAAGTGGCAGCACTCGCAATTAATAAACCAGGATTAATCCTCCAGACGAACTCCCCCCAAAAAGCAGTGTTTTGTTTTGTTACTTTAACACTACCATCTGTGACAATTTCTGACATCCTGTGTTATGACATTCCTGATCAGAACATTCCTGATCTTCTCCAGCAGCATTATCTTTTTTTTTAATATTATTTATTTTTTATTACAAAAAAAGGGGAAAAAACCCCATAAAGGTGCTTTAACATAAAAGTGAAAAAGTTCAACAAAAGAAGCTAATAGCAGCATTATCTCACTGACCATTGATTGGTAGCACAAATGGATTAAGAATCTTTTCTCTGAGATTTTAGATGTTTTGGTATGGCAAAACTACCAAAAATGCTTGCTTGCTTTGAAGATATGCCCAATGGTGATTTAATTTCAGGATTGGAAAAAAAATATATATTATTTTCTCAGGATTCTTTTCTGCAACCTCATGAGATTTTCATGAAATCACTTATGGCTCCAACAGATCATAAGTATATGGACTATTGGTGGCTGGTGTGGGTCTTCCGGGCTGTGTGGCCGTGGTCTTGAAGTTTTGTTTCCTA